TTCCTGTGTTTTTCATCAGATAAATGCAGCAGTGGTGAGAGATAAGACTATAAGTGTCGCAATTATGCCACATTTGACCAATCAGAATCAAGTATTCCAGATTTGGATTTTGGATACACAGCTGAATTCCTGTTAAAACTTATAAAGCTGACCTAAGGTGATGTGTGAAAGAAGGCATTGTGAAATGTTCTGAGCCATATGGATTTCATACTCTCAGTATGAATAATGTAATGCTTCTATAATGTGTCAGGTGCTAATATGGCTAATATGAGCTGACTGCTGTTCATTAGTCCAGGCCAGATCTACTGGGACGCCAGCTCCTGTGTTTTTCATCAGATAAATGCAGCAGTGGTGAGAGATAAGACTATAAGTGTCGTCTTATCGTCTTATATTAGTTTAGCATCATCCGCAATTATGCCACATTTGACCAATCAGAATCAAGTATTCCAGATTTGGATTTTGGATACACAGCTGAATTCCTGCTAAAACTGATAAAGCTGACCTAAGGTGATGTGTGAAAGAAGGCATTGTGAAATGTTCTGAGCCATATGGATTTCATACTCTCAGTATGAATAATGTAATGCTTCTATAATGTGTCAGGTGCTAATATGGCTAATATGAGCTGACTGCTGTTCATTAGTCCAGGCCAGATCTACTGGGACGCCAGCCGTCTCTTGAGCTGGATTTAATGAGCTTTTGTGCCTCAAACAGCATCGTCCTCTTATAGGCAGTCAGGACAGGGATGTTTCGGTAATGATAATCAGTCCTAAAGGGCTTCAAATGAGCAAAGAGTGGCACTGTAACAGCGAGGTGATGATGATTGTGTGATCAGCTCAGGGTTCAGGACGTACGTAAGTCTCTGATGTTGTGCCCGCAGTTTGTTCTCTGAGGCTAATGCGTTATACAATACACACAAAACTGGAAAGCTCTTGTGATAATTGCAAGCTCTGGTCTCACTGGTCAGCTACTAAAAGTAATGGTGCAAAGTTTTTTATCGGTCTGCTGAGACACAAAATAGTGTTTAAAAGGTACCTGGTTGATTGCATGAGCAATTCAGACTGAGGATAAATTAATCAGCTGAGTTTTACATCAAGCCTTTTGAAAATAGCAAAAGTGAGAGTGTTTTGTTTGAAGCACTTAGTAGCAAGTAAAATACTGATTGAAACGTTTTTGAAAGAATTATGCATTTATTTATTATTTGTTGGGAAATATTACAGTTAACTATTAACAGTAACTATTATATATACAGTATATGTGTGTGTGTGTGTGTGTGTGTGTGTGTGTGTGTGTATATATATATATTTTTTTTCCTGTGATAGAAGTTGAATTTTTTGTTATTTTGTTTTCAGTGTCGCCATGATTTTTTTTCAATAGAAGATTCAATAGAACAACATTTATTTGAAATATAAATCTTTTTATAACATTATACACAAGTTTACTGTCACGTTTGATAAATTGAATGCATCCTCGCTGAATAAAAATATTAATTTCTATTCAAGAAAATGACTGACCCCAAAATTTTGAGTGCTAGTATATCTGTCACTTGTGAATTTTGCTTAACGTTCTATCTGTGAAATAATCCTTATTTATTATATTTTATATATTCTGACTTTGTATGCAGGAGCAGATATCCTATTTTCTCTCACTCTACAAAAAGTGTGTTTAAACAGAAAGGATGACTTGGTTTTTTTCTCCTTTTTTATTGACAGACAGTTAAAAATGGGCAGGAAATTATTAGTAAGATGATTTCCAGGCCTGCAAAAATAATGCAAATTAAAACAATCTTAAAAAGTCATGATCAGAATTGAAATATTTTATTGGCTAGAAATTATGCCTTGTTAGTTCAATCGTTATAAAATGAGATTATGAAATATACACAATTTGAACATTTAAATGCAGACTTTAAAATAATAATAATAATAAAAAACATTTGTAATAATCCTCAAAATAAACAATGGGAAAGGTCATGAAAATTAATTGATTGTAAAGTGTGGGAAACCTAAACATTTTGCTTTTGTAATTTATTGAACTATTACCTGTAGACATTTATATACTATTTCCTGTATATGTATGAACTGTTTCCTGTAGATATCTAGTAAAACAAATATTCTGTTAATCATTGTATGTACCTCAGTAATGTTCTAACTCTGACTCGTGGCGGTGTGGCAAACAGTGGTCTTCTGGGTTTGAGTGTGTTTGTGCAGTTTGTTGGTTCTCTGGAGATCCGTCCGAGCTTTACTCCAGATGTACACTCTGTGTGTGCAAACCACATCTCACAGAATCATGGGAGTTTGTGTCGTACATATCTAGAAGTTCGCACAGGGGCACAGAGCAGCAGAGGCAGCTGGATTGGCCCACAGATGTGTTATTATGAAGAAACGCTAGTTCTGAGTAAAGAATCATTTATTTGCAGATGCTACTTGGTTTGTTATTTTGCCAAAAAGATGTGATGTGTTTATCTGTTTCTCGATCTGTGAGTTGATGAGTGAATCCCAACTCAAGTAATGGCACAGTAACTGTGAAACATACAGTGTCCCTTAACAGCAACCCAAGAGATACGTCAGTATTGATTGACCTGACCAGAAGAGGTCAACACCTTGCTGTCATCTAACGTAATCCTACACAGAAAATATCCTGAACCAGTAACAGGAAGGCAACATAAGACTGCCATAATTCACTATATGGAACTGTTGTTGCATGCGTTATTGCTGCACAAAACTGTGAATTTTGCTCAAAAAGCACATACAATCCAGCATGACCAGTCTGTAATAGCGTAAGCATAACATATGTTGTGTTATTGCTCTGCATCATGGACAATTTCCAGATCATCATGGCAGATACTGGTTAGAGAATTTTACCACTCTGTGTCTTTCAAACAGTGAGTACGTTTACATGGACAACCATAATCCGATTTTAACACGATTAAGACGATACTCTGATTAAGAATCTTACCATGTAAACAGAGATTTTTGATTACCTTAATCCGGCTAAAGTCATATTCGAAGTAAACAGAAATCGAATTAAGACATGGAGTATTCCTATTTTAGTCGCATTACTGAAGTGCAGTATAGACATGTAAACACCTTAATCACATTATCACCGTCGTGTAGGACTTTTCGCCGCATTTTACGACAGGATACACACCCGGCAGTGCTCAACCGTTTGACGGCAAATAAAAGAGCTTCAACACCGCCATCGTCTGTATGCACGTACAAATAATTAACTGCACTTGAAGCTTTCATAAAATTAAAAATGAAACACCAAAAACTGTACATGACATCATCACGAAGACGAACTATATGTTTATACGTGAAATTCCGGAGGGGACGTCGAATGGCGTCACGTGGGGACGTAATGACGTGTGCCATTACTCGAACTATTTCGTAACGGGAACATGAAAGGAATATTCTAAAAGCAACTCATGTAAACACCATAATCATATGGTATCATAATCAAATATTGGCTTATTTAGAATAAGGTTAATAATAGTAGAATAATACATTAATAAAATAAAGTAACGGATAATTATTAAGTAAAAGTAAGTAGATAAAAACGAGCTGGGCAATGTGCCAGCTGGGCGATTTGTCTTTTCCCGACTGCCCCCGATGGCCAGTATGAGTCTGCCTTATAATATTTAGCACAGTTATTAACAATAAAAAATAATGGCACTTCGAGTGGAAAAAGGTCATCCTCTGTGTCTTTTTAAACTACTCCACAACTTGTAGTGTAAATGATTTAAAGCACTCCGCCCCCACACCCCCGTGCTAGTGGTACAGCCCACGGGCAAATTACAAGACGAAAAATTGGTTAGATTTCATTTATTCAGATGATTGATTCTGAAGTCAAAGCAAAAGTATCTATTGATAAAGTATATGAAAAAAACTTCTGAATTGTGAAGCGTTACATGGACCGACCGTGTAGGTTCTTGCTGAGAATCAGATATTTTCATCACACTGAACAATAAGGATTTAGTTCTCCTGTGATGCATGCATGTTTAATGTAGACGAACTAAATAAACTAGTGAACGTGTGTAACGAGCCAATCCACTGAAGGCGAGTGTAGTGAAGAACCCAAGAGCAGTTTATTTACAGAGTGATCCAAACATCCAAACAATAAACGAAGACTTGACTTGAACTGACTTGACGAGGCACGAACTGACTTAACTAGGCATAAACAGACTTGACAAGGCATAAACAGACTAGACCCACCGACAGCGGGTTACAACTTCAATACACCACCCGGCACAATGGGAACAAGATGGCTACTTATAGCAGACAAGAGGGTCACAAGACAAGAACAAACCAATGGGAAACAAGACACATGGCTAAGACAACCAATCAGAACATGACACATACACAAGGCAGAGAGACATGAGGCAAGGGAAGCATGACACTAACAGCAGGAATCAAACTACAAAATAAAAGACATGGAAAACATGAACATGAAACAAAACCCAAAACACCAACAACGTGTAAAATAGTTTTAAGAAATGTATTTTCTAAAATAAAAATGAACTATTCTGCTGAAGAAACAACTAATTCCTTTACTGGAGCTAGTGCTAAATGAGCAATATCACTGTGCCACATTTGTTCTTATTTGATCAACACTTGAATGTTGGTAATTTACATTAAAAAATGTTTTTCAAAAAAAGCAGAATTTTTTATTTTTTTGTCAAAGACTGACAAAAATTCAGTTTTCTGCTTCACATGTTTTTGGGCTCAGAAGTGCTGTGCTATTTCAGAAAATCCATAACAGCGCCCCCTACCATATAGCACTGAAAATACATATTTCCGGAATAACTCGACAAAGGCAGGAAAGCATTTTATAATAAATAATGGAAAGTATCATCAGTGGCAGAGAAAGAGTTAATGAGGAACAAACTTTGTGACTATTAAAAACAGTATTTGTTTATGAATACTGCAAATTCAGACATACTGTAACAGGCATACTATTTAAGACTTTGTCTTCAAAGTCACAGTTGCCCGATGTTCAGGTTGACTATGAGCTTCTACCAAGGGCTGGATCTACTCATTCATGCTGAGGATCTTCAAGAGGAAGATTTCAGTAATGGTTTTAGAAAACTCTGATGAAAAGTGAATTCTTCAAAGTGTAATTTATGTACCAGAACAGTGACTGAAATAGCGAGGAAGCATTCCAAAAGACTATGAAAAAACATTGGGTCACTGTGAGTCAGACTGTTTTCTCATGTTATTCTGATTCCAGAAAGGAAACACTGCTCTGCATATAGCATCGCTCGCTGGACAGGCAGATGTCGTCAAGGAACTTGTAAATAATGGAGCGAATATCGACACCCAGTCTCAGGTACAATCAGCACTTGACAAAGGATGAGTGGCTTTTAATTTACTGTAAAACATGATTCCATTCTTACAGTGCGTTCAAGTCATTTTACACGTTGAACGCACATGAACTCCAACTTAAAGTCATAATTACAGGTGGGAAACTTTCTTCAAACCCCAATTTTCTGAGATGTGGTCATGTCAGTGAGAAAATATGGCAATAGATGTAACATCTGTATTGATAGTAAATATGTTTATGTTATTAATGAAATATTTTTTTTCCATTTAGAATCAAACTAAATAGCATGTGCAAAATACAGTAGTAATGTACAATTACCGGGCCTTTTTCACATTTCCGGGTTTCTCAGCAGCAGAAGTCATCATAGTTGGGTAAACTTCTATTGCAGTGAATGGGAGACTACCACAGATATATATTTTTTGTATTCTCATTTGCTCAAATAGCAAAAGAAAAACTCCATGATAGTGTTTTCACGCCTTTCAAAAAAAGGGGAAAAGATAACGGCAGTCAGTAGAGAGAACGATGTCAAATTTACCGTCACTCCCATAGATGCTGTATTAGAAACACCCTCGCATTAACGTTAACTAGTTTTTTGTAATTTGATGCAAAGGTACTATAATACAAAGTATAGTGGGTTACACTTTACTTGAAGGGGTGTGCATAAGACTGACATGACACCTTCATAATCATGACATGACACATGTCATGAATATGAAGGTTTTTATGCATGTTTATGACAACTGTCATTAAGTGTCATTCGCTCAGTTATGTAATTTTTAATGCAAATATGACATTGTTTGAGATGTCTTTGTTATGGGCTATGGTTAGGGGTAAGGGTAGGGTTAGGTCAAATAATGTCATATTTGCATTAAAAATGACAACTGAGCGAATGACACTTAATGACAGTTGTCATAAACATGCATAAATCCTCCTTCATATTCATGACATGTGTCATGTCATGATTATGAAGGTGTCATGTCAGTCTTATGCACACCCCTTCAAGTAAAATGTTACCGTATAGTGTTATAAATATACATAAAAAAACATTTTAATTATGGTTTTACGATGCGGATAACCATTGAAACGTATCATCACAGTTGTGAAAAGGGTCCATATAATGATTCAATTGACAGCACCTTCATAAATTAAATATAAACAAAAAAGCAAACCACATTGATGCACTCCAACATTTGTAGAAGTACAGTTTAAAAATCTTCAGCCGGCCAAATGTAAATACGAATTTCCAATTTTCCAATTTCCATCGTAAATACTTTCCAACTTGTAAATATGATTATCCCAGGAGAACTTGAACACACCATTAATCCAAAAATGCACTCTACACAAGTCTAAATTTTTTTTGCAGAGGAACCTAGCAATTGTGAAGCTAGTTTGAAACTGTACAGTATCTTGACAAACTAAAAGCTACTCAAAATTTAAAGTAATTTACTGTAGCTACACTAAAAACATTTGTTAGCTACAAATTGCACATTTTCCAACAAAATCAATGTAGAAGTTTTGAAAAATGACAGCAGATTTTGTCCGGGCCTGCTAATAACTATTCTAGCTAATCTTAGCTAACTTATGGTTAGCTACAAAATTAACATCACCAAAAAATAAAACGTTTGAAAATTAAACTAACTACATTAAAGCTTTGAAAGGGGGCGACATCATTTAAAATGGTAACTTGTTCAGATTGTATAATTTATGACAAAAAGGCCTAATGAAAGGCCTAATTAAGTTTTGAATTATTGAACCAGGATTATGGTCACAGCATTAAAACTCAACAATAAAAGGGCAAAAACACAGCATGTACAGTAGAAAAAAATACTTTGTTGCACCACAGAAAAACAAAGGTAGTGCTACTTTTAGTTAGTTTTACTGTCCACCGCTAATTGAACTGGATGTGTTGTTGTTCAGGTAGCTATTTATACATAGTTATACTATACACACAACTAACTTCTTCAGCAAGATTCTTTTCAAACTACTGCCCTGTCATGACAGTGGTTGATCTGAAAGATAAGACCAACCATAAAAGTCAGTTCATGCAAATATCCACTGTAGCACCACAGAGAATGTGAATTGCACCAGTGTTGCGTTGAAGTATGGATTTTGAGTAAAGTTCTGATACTTAAGTTCTCAGTTTGTCCTCGTAAAAGATAGCTCTACTATTCTGATACTCTAAAGTGAAGTGACACGTGGCCTAGTATGGTGACCCATACTTGGAATTAGTGCTCTGCATTTATCACATCCAAAGTGCACACACACAGCAGTGAACACACACCGGAGCAGTGGGCAGCCATTTATGCTGCAGCGCCCGGGGAGCAGTTGGGGGTTTGGTGCCTTGCTCAAGGGCACCTCAGTCTGTGACCCAGAGCACTGTTCATTCACCCCCCCCCCCTACAATCCCTGCCAGTACGAGACTCGAACCTGCAACCTTTGGGTTACGAATCCGACTCTCTAACCATTAGGCCACGACTTCCCCAAGTGCTGCACTTCTCTGAAGTTACTTATGTCTCCATTTTGATGAGAAACTGTTGGGATTTGAGAGCTGGTATGGTCGATAGCTATAGTAGTGCATGCGTTTTTGCCTTGTCACCGAAATGATCCTCAGGGAGTCCAAAATTAAACACACACATACACATGTACGGGAGACTAGAGACAGACTATGTTTTATCTCAAGAACTTATCACAAGTGCAGCCTGGTTCTGCTTTCTCACACTGCAGTGCTTAAAATAGAGACACTCACTTCGTGAATGAGGAGGCTGATTGCAAATTGTTAAATGTTTGATATTCTTTTTGTACCGTAGTGTAAAAAAATTATGTATCCTATGTACACTCAACATTTATCAATATTAGCTAGCTAGCTACTTTAGCTGACTCATTTAAGCTATGGTGCTGAATGTTAGTGTGAAAACCCAGGCCCAGACTTTATTGGTGTTCGCATAACTCTACAGAAAGCTCTAAAGATTAACACAGAATTTGAGTTTTCTATTGCGAGAAATGTCAGCAGATTCTGTCTAGGCCTGCTAATAACTATGCTAACTAATCTTAGCTAACTTATGGTTAACTACACATTTAATATCACCAACAAATGAAGCATTTAACAATTGAAACATTATGCATTCAATATCATTCAGTCCACAAGTATTTTGTGGACCATGCTAGTAAAACTTAATTTCCCAGAATGCCTCAAATTTTGAGTTCAGTATTTATATTTATAAAGTTGAAAACAATGCGGTGGACATTTTGCATTAGCCTAATTGTTCAGTGAGAAAATATGGCAATAGATGTAACATCTGTATTGATAGTAAATATGTTTATGTTATTAATGAAATATTTTTTTTCCATTTAGAATCAAACTAAATAGCATGTGCAAAATACAGTAGTAATGTACAATTACCGGGCCTTTTTCACATTTCCGGGTTTCTCAGCAGCAGAAGTCATCATAGTTGGGTAAACTTCTATTGCAGTGAATGGGAGACTACCACAGATATATATTTTTTGTATTCTCATTTGCTCAAATAGCAAAAGAAAAACTCCATGATAGTGTTTTCACGCCTTTCAAAAAAAGGGGAAAAGATAACGGCAGTCAGTAGAGAGAACGATGTCAAATTTACCGTCACTCCCATAGATGCTGTATTAGAAACACCCTCGCATTAACGTTAACTAGTTTTTTGTAATTTGATGCAAAGGTACTATAATACAAAGTATAGTGGGTTACACTTTACTTGAAGGGGTGTGCATAAGACTGACATGACACCTTCATAATCATGACATGACACATGTCATGAATATGAAGGTTTTTATGCATGTTTATGACAACTGTCATTAAGTGTCATTCGCTCAGTTATGTAATTTTTAATGCAAATATGACATTGTTTGAGATGTCTTTGTTATGGGCTATGGTTAGGGGTAAGGGTAGGGTTAGGTCAAATAATGTCATATTTGCATTAAAAATGACAACTGAGCGAATGACACTTAATGACAGTTGTCATAAACATGCATAAATCCTCCTTCATATTCATGACATGTGTCATGTCATGATTATGAAGGTGTCATGTCAGTCTTATGCACACCCCTTCAAGTAAAATGTTACCGTATAGTGTTATAAATATACATAAAAAAACATTTTAATTATGGTTTTACGATGCGGATAACCATTGAAACGTATCATCACAGTTGTGAAAAGGGTCCATATAATGATTCAATTGACAGCACCTTCATAAATTAAATATAAACAAAAAAGCAAACCACATTGATGCACTCCAACATTTGTAGAAGTACAGTTTAAAAATCTTCAGCCGGCCAAATGTAAATACGAATTTCCAATTTTCCAATTTCCATCGTAAATACTTTCCAACTTGTAAATATGATTATCCCAGGAGAACTTGAACACACCATTAATCCAAAAATGCACTCTACACAAGTCTAAATTTTTTTTGCAGAGGAACCTAGCAATTGTGAAGCTAGTTTGAAACTGTACAGTATCTTGACAAACTAAAAGCTACTCAAAATTTAAAGTAATTTACTGTAGCTACACTAAAAACATTTGTTAGCTACAAATTGCACATTTTCCAACAAAATCAATGTAGAAGTTTTGAAAAATGACAGCAGATTTTGTCCGGGCCTGCTAATAACTATTCTAGCTAATCTTAGCTAACTTATGGTTAGCTACAAAATTAACATCACCAAAAAATAAAACGTTTGAAAATTAAACTAACTACATTAAAGCTTTGAAAGGGGGCGACATCATTTAAAATGGTAACTTGTTCAGATTGTATAATTTATGACAAAAAGGCCTAATGAAAGGCCTAATTAAGTTTTGAATTATTGAACCAGGATTATGGTCACAGCATTAAAACTCAACAATAAAAGGGCAAAAACACAGCATGTACAGTAGAAAAAAATACTTTGTTGCACCACAGAAAAACAAAGGTAGTGCTACTTTTAGTTAGTTTTACTGTCCACCGCTAATTGAACTGGATGTGTTGTTGTTCAGGTAGCTATTTATACATAGTTATACTATACACACAACTAACTTCTTCAGCAAGATTCTTTTCAAACTACTGCCCTGTCATGACAGTGGTTGATCTGAAAGATAAGACCAACCATAAAAGTCAGTTCATGCAAATATCCACTGTAGCACCACAGAGAATGTGAATTGCACCAGTGTTGCGTTGAAGTATGGATTTTGAGTAAAGTTCTGATACTTAAGTTCTCAGTTTGTCCTCGTAAAAGATAGCTCTACTATTCTGATACTCTAAAGTGAAGTGACACGTGGCCTAGTATGGTGACCCATACTTGGAATTAGTGCTCTGCATTTATCACATCCAAAGTGCACACACACAGCAGTGAACACACACCGGAGCAGTGGGCAGCCATTTATGCTGCAGCGCCCGGGGAGCAGTTGGGGGTTTGGTGCCTTGCTCAAGGGCACCTCAGTCTGTGACCCAGAGCACTGTTCATTCACTCCCCCCACCTACAATCCCTGCCAGTACGAGACTCGAACCCGCAACCTTTGGGTTACGAATCCGACTCTCTAACCATTAGGCCACGACTTCCCCAAGTGCTGCACTTCTCTGAAGTTACTTATGTCTCCATTTTGATGAGAAACTGTTGGGATTTGAGAGCTGGTATGGTCGATAGCTATAGTAGTGCATGCGTTTTTGCCTTGTCACCGAAATGATCCTCAGGGAGTCCAAAATTAAACACACACATACACATGTACGGGAGACTAGAGACAGACTATGTTTTATCTCAAGAACTTATCACAAGTGCAGCCTGGTTCTGCTTTCTCACACTGCAGTGCTTAAAATAGAGACACTCACTTCGTGAATGAGGAGGCTGATTGCAAATTGTTAAATGTTTGATATTCTTTTTGTACCGTAGTGTAAAAAAATTATGTATCCTATGTACACTCAACATTTATCAATATTAGCTAGCTAGCTACTTTAGCTGACTCATTTAAGCTATGGTGCTGAATGTTAGTGTGAAAACCCAGGCCCAGACTTTATTGGTGTTCGCATAACTCTACAGAAAGCTCTAAAGATTAACACAGAATTTGAGTTTTCTATTGCGAGAAATGTCAGCAGATTCTGTCTAGGCCTGCTAATAACTATGCTAACTAATCTTAGCTAACTTATGGTTAACTACACATTTAATATCACCAACAAATGAAGCATTTAACAATTGAAACATTATGCATTCAATATCATTCAGTCCACAAGTATTTTGTGGACCATGCTAGTAAAACTTAATTTCCCAGAATGCCTCAAATTTTGAGTTCAGTATTTATATTTATAAAGTTGAAAACAATGCGGTGGACATTTTGCATTAGCCTAATTGTTTTGACAATATTGAATTTATAAATTAACAAATTGTCAAAATGAACGGTGTATTGTGTTTTAATTTCTTTGCTGTGTGTCTGCATTTCCTCTTCCTGTCATTTCAATTCAACTTCCTGTGGGCATGGCCAATTCACTTCACACTCATGAACTGAAAATAAGCGAGCTGTTCTAATGACCAGAAAATACTGCATATTTGAAGTGTGAAGGTATTTCAAATAAGATGTTAAACTTGTTAGAGAAATCAGCATCACTGCAATAAGGTCCCACAGATAAGGCTACTGTACCGTATGTCAGAGTCAGTGCTGTGATCAAATCTTGCATTCGAGTCATGGTTAAACATGGGATGTATATGATTGTTTTGTTGCATTATAAATTGAAAGAGAATATGATTTTTGTTCCTGCTATAGAATGGCTTCACACCACTCTACATGGCTGCCCAGGAAAACCACCTGAATGTCGTCAAATTCCTCCTGGATAATGGATCCAGTCAGAGCATTGCCACAGAGGTGAGCATAACCTTTTCCTCCAATCCATCCATCACTTACCTCACTGCAATTCCCAGCAGCCCTCTGAAACAACATACTTTGATGTCTATCTAGCAATGATACATACAGGAACTACCTAGTGACCCTGCTGTCCATTTCAAGGCAACAGGCAGACACTAGTTGCGCAGTGAGGGTATTGAATGCCTGGCTTGAAGTGTGTGTGGTGTGTGTGTGTGTGTGTGTGGGTGCATGACAGAGCAGGGCGCCAGACGTCACTGTCCTTGAGAATGTACCAGGCCCACTGTCTCTCAGACAGTGATTATGCACCAGAGAACACATCCTTGTTTGAAGAGCTGTTTGCATGTTAATGATCTCTGTTGTTAGAATAAAGGTCTGTTTGAAATTCAGACTTCAACCACAAAAATATCACATGCATTACAGCATTTTGATGTCAAGCTGATCTCTCAGAGAATTATCAAAGATTTGTGTTGCTCTTATTAAACATTCTGTCATTTACTGGACATGTGCTGATACGCCATATATTTATATATTCTGTGTTTTTCTCAAGATATGAATGGTTATACATGTGTATGTTCATGCATCTTAAGACATTTTTAAGGCTTTCATCCCTAAAACACTTGTATGCAGAACTACTTCCTTACACCACCAAGTTTTTAAAATATGCTGTTGTTATTGTAGTTAGGAGCATGATGTGAAACTGTAATACTGTCAACAAAGTTAAACTTCCTTATAGCCATGCTTGTATAGAATATTAATCAACATCTACAAACGACAAACTACCCTGGTGGTTCAGGGGCCCTACACAACTTGCATACTTTGCTTTCGAGAGAGGACCATCACTGCTGATGACATATTTTTTGGATATACTGTACATCTTGTAGGACGGTGTCCATTCCTGCTCCTGGAGGACCACATTCCTGCAGAGTTTAGCTCTAGCCCTAATTAAACACACCTAAACCAACTTATGAAGGTTTTCTGGATTACTAGAAACTTCCTGGTGTGTTGGCGTTGAACTCTGCAGGAGAGTTGTCTTCCAGAAACAGGATTGGACACCCTTGCTCTAGGATTTTCTTCTTTCTATCAATGATCTTGATGAATAGCTCATCACATCTGCTCTAATATGGTGGTCACAGGAAACTATGTGTATACTTCAAACCATCAGAACTGGGTGTCCAGTCTTGCTCCTGGGGGGTCAGTGTCCCGCAGAGTTAAGCTCCAACCTGCTCAAACATACTTGCTTGGAGGTTTCTGTTAAATCAGAAGACCTTGATTAGGTGGTTCAGGTATGGTTGATAAGGATTGGCGCTATATTCTGCAGGACACTTGCCCTCCAGCAGCAGGATTGGACACACGTGACTTTGAAGAGCAGGGCTGGGCAACTCCGGTCCTCAAAATCCATTTTCTTGCAGAGTTTAGCGCCAACCCTGGCCAAACTCACCTACCTGCCTGTGGCTTTCAAGTAATCCTGAAGACATTGACTTGCTTGTTCACATGTGCTTGATTAGGGTAGGAGCAAAACTCTGCTGGAAAGTGGATCTTGAGGTCCAGAGTTGCCCACACCTGTAGAAGAGCATACTGAATCACAACTGATATAAACACTTCCTCTGCAAGAGAATTCTGTAGTGTACCTTTAAGATTGACATCTCTTTGGAGTACTCAAGGATTCTTGTGTTGTGTGTTTGTAGGATGGTTTTACTCCTCTGGCCGTAGCTCTTCAGCAGGGTCATGATCAGGTGGTGTCTTTGCTCCTGGAGAACGACACCAAGGGGAAGGTACGGCTGCCTGCCCTGCACATCGCCGCTCGTAAGGACGATACTAAAGCAGCGGCGCTGCTCCTGCAGAACGACCACAATGCAGATGTCGAATCCAAGGTACCTCCATCGATATACAGTCAAATCTTTCCATTAGTTTACAACTAGAACTTGATGGTGCTTTCCATTCAAACACATTAAATGATTACTGTGTTTTGGAATTAACACAATGTAAAACAATATCCATCTAAACAGACATTGTGGTGGCTGTAAATCAATGGTGCATGATGGGAGATGCTCACTGTAAATTTACCTAAAACTCAATTGTGTCATCGTCAATCACAAGCCAGTTTAAAGCAACTACCAAGCAGTTAAACCATAGGCAACTAGTAGATGCACCATCCAGTTAAGCCTTTGTGGTGTCGTGTGATGTGTGGTTTGTCACTCTCCCTCACAATGTAGCCACCGTACAGCTTGATGCTCCCATTGTGACTTTGTGAACATTAATTAGACCATTCTTTCTCCTCCTGTTCTGGTGGTCCTTCTAGATGATGGTGAATAGAACAACAGAGGTATACATGTACAAATTCTACACACCTCACAAAGCGCCCACATCACGCTGCTGCTGTGGCTGCCGCCCCTTCCCCTTCCCCTCCTGCCCCAGCTCATTGCTTTTTTTGTCTCAGTAGAATGGTGCTTCTATTACTAACGGGCAGCGGAAGACTAGCATGGAGAAGAAACACTCTGGTTTAGCCGGCGAGGTCTGCAGCTGAGAAAGTTACTTATTTAGGACAGGGCATTTTCTTTAATATAGTGTATGTGGCCATGTTTTTTGTTTGTGTAATTTCTATGCCACCAGTGGCCCAAATGGTATTGCAAGATCATGATTTTCAAAACTCTTCTGACATTTGCCGTTGGTCGCACAGATAGTCCTGTTCAAGAGGTTAACCTACCAGTGGCCCGCTTGTTGTTTCTTTACATTAAACTGCGATAGTTTTTGCCCCAACAACAACAATAAATAGGTTGTAAACAGTAGGAAAGTCTGTGCTGTTCCAGCTAGTTTATGCCGGTTTGGCTCTGGTCTAGCCGATGGACCAGTAAAGACATGCTATTACTTACAGTATCTAATGAAACTGTAGGATCAATATATATATATATATATAGGGGTGTAGCGATACATGTATTCGTATTGAACCGTTCGGTATGAGGCTTTCGGTTCGGTACTCATTACAAACCGAACGATTCGGGTAGTTGGACTAATCCTATTACATTTGGAAAATAAAACGGCTTAAAGTGTGTGAAATATAATGTTCTCAACAACTCAACAAGGCAGCCCGAACGACATAACAGGCCAACGTGCTGTCTGCCCCGCGATAACCTCCCCGTGCTGGGTTGAGTTGCGTCGAAAGAAGATGATCTTGTATCGATGATAGCCAGAGATATTGTCAAAAACATAAATTGTTGGCAATATTAAGATTTTTGGCATTTCCAATTAATGCAGGCCTGTTACATTCTTATTTTCATTAGGCCTATTATTATTATTATTATTATGAAGTTACTTTTATTGTTAAATTAAAATTACAATGAATTTACCCAGCAATAATTACCAAATAACTGACGTTCTGCGAGGATAACAAAAAATTAGGCTATACATTTACTCCTCAATTAAAATGTTTTTAAAAAAAGGTATTTTAAAACAGGTCTATACAATGAAATATAGGCCTATGATTAAAATATTAACACTTCAGTCATCAATAAAATTCAAGGAAATAAAAAGCTTTTATTTCAAGCACCGACTTTCAAAAACAATCTGTTTAACGCGAAATATGTTTATGTTTTTGAAATATGTTTTTCACTATGTAATATTAGAAATAGTTAGCTATATACCGTTATCAGCATATGTTGAAGTAGATTCGTCTCGTCGTCTCTGAGAGAATATGCGGTGTCAGATGACGAAAGCTCCGTCATTCTGTTTTTACTTTCACTTTCTGCATATAGTGAATTGATTTGAGATGAAGACGTTCACCGGCGTAACAAAGTTTGCATGTTGCTTGTGTGTGATATCCATTGGCTCGCCTTCATAGTTTAAAACAGAAATATTTCCAACATTGCGACATAATTACCCCCGTACCGAACCGAACGGTGACACCACTGTGTTGTATCGAACCAAACCGTGAATTTTGTGAGCCGTTACACCCCTAATATATATATATAAATACAGTGGTGTGAAAAAGTGTTTGCCCCCTTCCTGATTTCTTGTTTTTTTTGCATGTTTGTCACACTTTAATGTTTCAGA